ATGCAAATGCAGCATGAGACCATAAAAATATACTGTGAAATATATTGTTGTAATTAGCATTGTGCTTTCTACTAGTTAATTTCTTTTTTATCAGCTAAAATATGGTATGTAGTGATAAAGACAATCTCAATCAGGAAAAGGTTGATAAAACCTTTTAGGATGATAAAATCCTAGACTGACAGAGCTAGAAGAAAATTAGAGATGATTTATACAGCATATTTAATATAGGGGAATCCTGAAGCCAGGAGAGGAAAAGTAATTTTCTGAGCTTATCCAAAGTGGGTATAAATCAGAAATACAAACTCAAGTATATGTCTTTTTAAGCTCATGTTCCTTACATCAGTCCCTCTGGCCTTATGGTCCCTCTATGCTCTTCATGCAAATAATATTATCTATCTGATTATGGTTTGGGATAAAAGAAATGGATTTTTTAGTCAATGATCCTAGAAAATTGTTCATTATCTACAGAAATGGTCACTTCTGTTTGTGGAATAGTTCAATTACAAATCTATGGAACATGTGGCAGGATAATAATACACTTGCTGAGATTTTAGCATATAGTAGTGAGATTAACAGTGAAAAGTGATTCCAATGCCTTGACTTATATGAAGGGAGTCCTGGGAGCAGTGCTGAAATGAAGTCACCAGTTTATTATGTTCTTATCTCTGAATCTACTTTGCTCTTCAAATGTTTAGTGAGAAAGTTGCCAGAACTATTGCCAAGGTCTCTAAAAATGAATGATTGACAAGTTGTGTCCACAAAGGATATTTGCTTAAATCCACGTCTCTGGTCACAGGACAGACATTGATGAATCAAGCAGGAAATACTCACCCTTCCCCACCCAGAGGCTGTTCCTATGCATTCAGAAGAGGTGTAGGCCATTGGATGAGTCCAGTTTTAAGTGCCCACTAAAGGATTTCTGGTGGAGCTGCTTAACCCCCGATCAGCACTGATCTAAAAGGACAAAATAAGATTCTAAAGAAGAATGAAATTGTGATAGTAATTTTAATGTCAATATTTCAAACAAGAAGTAATAACATCAACAATGCAAGCAGTATTTAAAAGCTATTAATTAGTCTTTCTTGTATCTCTCCTCTGCATTGCAAAACTAGCAGAAAAAAAAGTATGTTTTTAACTTAAAGGATATTTGAGTTAAACTGAACAAAAGCATAAATTATAGGAAAGAATTACACTTTGTAACTTGAATACTTTCGAAAGTAAACAAAACAGAAGGTATAAAATTTTCAAGAAAAATGAAAGGGGCTGAGTTCTAATACTGACCAAGACTGTTGCTTGATCACATCCTGAAAAGGCAAAAGACTACTGAGTGTGTGACTAAAAACATGTTTCACAAACCCTAGACTCAGGAATTCTCAATCTCAAAAGTCACCCTGTCCCATGTGTGGCACAGAATCAAGGAGCAACCTTAGTGAAGGGAACCATTTATGGCTGGTTTAGACCACCAGAATGCAGGATACAACTAGGATTGTCCAGATCAGAGGGCCTGCTCTCATTTTTTGATCACTTATTGACCATGTTAGATCCTCATAAACTCCAATAGTGAAGGATCAAATCTCCTCATATCCAAGCAGAGTGGAGGGCTCAGAATTGAATGTAATTGTATATAGAGGCAGAGAAGGACTAGATGATTTTCTACAACTATATTTATTGATGGGAGCTCACACCTACTGTGTGGGGGACCACAGTGGGGACTGCTAGGGAGTCATGGCAGTACAGACCCACATTTAGGGCTGGCTGCCCTAGTATCCCAGCCAATCAATTTGTTTTGAAGCAAAAACCTTGAGCCTGTTAAGCAACAGGCTTAATAGAAATGGGTGTGGCTCCTTTGAAGTGACTTTTAATTTGGGCAATGTATTGTGTTGATGCTGACTTAAGCATAATTCTATATACTGTTTTTAAATCCTTAGTTATTGAGTAGGTGACAAAAGGAAAAAAGAAAAATGAAGTCATGTTAGAATTTATTGATGGTTAATTTCTTTGTCATGCCTATGAGAATTTCCAAAATGGGAAGAACATGGGAGGTATATTTCTAGACAATTATTCTTGAACTGTGCGTTAAAAATAAGGAAATAATATTTTAAAACTTATAATTTTCCTGGAAGGTACACACAAAATAAAACCTAGTTGGTGGAAGATTAGATATGAATGTTAAAATTAGAGAGGAATAAAAACTCCTACATTTTCCTGTATTGGTTACTACTGACAAAGCTTACCAGAGTGAAACTGGACAGAAGACATTAAAAATGGGAACTGGCACGAAGATTTCTGGGGGAAATGTTGACCTTGAAGCCGCTACGGATATCCAGAAGGTGGTGTCCAAGAAGTAGTGGAGAACTGAGTCTAGGATCAGGTGGCAGATCCTCCCTCACCTTCTTTGGGAAAGTAAGTAGAGGCAGAAATCCCATATTGACACAAGGGTGGGTGGTGGTGTGAGAAAGTATGGCACACCAGAAAGAATCTTGTACCAGTTTCAGGGGATCTGATTCACTGAGTGGTCTCACTTCCTCTTTTTATTTTATTTTACTTTTTATTTTATTTGGAATCTAGTTTAGAAGTTCTTAAATGAACTTACATGCAACCTTGAGTTCTGTGCAGAAAATGTAGGCATTCATGAGTCCTATCTTGCTTCTATTTAAGTCACTTCCTTTAAAAATATCTGTTTCGTTTATTACTGGCCTCATAAAATCACCTTTGGGAAGAAAAACGTTCCATTTCTTTTCTTTTCTTAAAAATATATATTTTATTGATTTTTTACAGAGAGGAAGGGAGAGAGATAGAGAGTTAGAAACATCGATGAGAGAGAAACATCTATCAGCTGCCTCCTGCACATCTCCCACTGGGGATGTGCCCGCAACCCAGGTACATGCCCTTGACCGGAATCGAACCTGGGACCCTTCAGTCCGCAGGCTGACGCTCTATCCACTGAGCCAAACTGGTCTCAGCACATTCCATTTCTTAAGTAAACAACAGCAATGAAAAGTTTGAAAACCACAGATCCAGATGCTTGTTCAGGGCCCCACCAGCTCTAACATCCTGTGAGCCATTGTTCTTATTTCTATCTACTTAGAACATGGTCAGTCTAGTGAGATGCTTCACTCTAACTTGAGAGGAAGATCACTTATCCCATTCAGAGAAGCTTCTAGAGAGCATTTCATTGTATTATGCATATATCAAACATTGATGAAGCATTGAAATATGGGAGAGGTAATAAGTATTCAAATTTCACAATGGTATTACTGAGATTATACAACTCTACCTGAGGGAAAGAGGTGACATTGGAAAAAATAAATAGTATGAGTGAGAGAGACACTCCTTAAAAAATTAGAAACAAATGCAGTGAGTGCTGTGAGATCATAAGATCTGAAATTAGAAGACTCAGTTTGGGTCAAGATCCTATCACTCAGTAGCTGTGTGCCTTGAGAATTTGCTTAACTCCTCTAATCTTTGAGTTTGTCCTTTGGGAATTTACTCTATTTTAACTCTATCTTCTGGAACACTAATGTGAGGACCACAAGAGATAATAGGGATGAATTTCTAAGTAATTGGAAATTATTGGATGGCCATCAGGTGATCAGAGCCTGCCAGCTGGGGAAAGGGACCAAGAGGTGGTCAGTGTGCCTCATAGTGACTGGTCCAGTGGTCGTTCTGCTGTTAGGGTGAATTTGCATAGTACCCTCTTATTATATAGGATAGAGGCCTGGTGCATGGGTGGGGGCCACCTGAAGGGGGCCCCAGATTGTGGTGGGGGGTTCCCACTGGGGGTAGGGCTAGCCTGGGTGAGGGGCCGCAGGTAGCTTCCAGGCCGGCCACACTCCGGCTTTGTCAGAACGGATGTAAGAAGACGAGTCTAATTAGCATATTACTCTTTTATTAGTTTGTGTTAAACAAAATATCATGCTTATAATCTTAAGAGGCATGAGAAAGAATGCTAAAATCAGATTATTCAATACCCATTTTAGTTATTGAAGTAACATATCCTAATAAAGGAAAAATGTATTTCAGGAGAGAAGTTAAGGCCTAGGATTTTGTAGAACTAGCTCTCCTGACCATGAACTATGTGACTAAGTAGAATACATTTTTAAAAAATATTTTTTTATTGATTTCAGAAAGGAAGGAAGAGGAAGAGAGAGAAACATCAATGATGAGAGCAAATCATTGATAGGCTGCCTCCAGCATGCCCCCTACTGGGGGTTGAGCCTGCAACCCGGGCATGTGCCCTTGACCGGAATTGAATCCAGTACCTTTTAGTTTGTAGGCCAATGCTCTATCCACTGAACCAAGCCAGCTAGGGCTAAATAGAATACATTTAATCTTTCTGAGTTTGTTGTCCCATATGCCAAGTAGCAACAATACTGGTCTATAAAATTCACCAGTTTATTTTAATCATTTAACAAACCTTCATAGAACATTGTAAAGTTCTTCATACTCTGAAAAATCAAGGTGTTACAACACTATCTATTCCTGTTGCCTACTATTGTACATTTTAAAGAAATGTTGCTTTTACTTTCTATTTCAACTTTCCTGTATTTAATCTAACCTTTTAAATGTTTTATTTAAGTATAATTGGTATATTAGTTTAAATATGTTACTTATATTAGTTTCAGGTGTACAACATAGTGATTTGACATTTTTATGTCAATGAGATCTAGTGGTTATTCATCACCTTGCAAATTTATACCCTTTACACATGTCATTTTAATTTTTATTTCTTCTTACTACACCTATGATATTTGTTCTCAAATATAGTCATGCCATTGTATTTGCTGATAAATCAAAAGATTATTACGTAAAACACCTTTGGTAGATGAGTTTCAGGGTGTAACTGTACCAACTGTCTATAAATCAAGATAATAAGGAAGATTTCCTTGACCAATGAAAAAATACCCTAGCTTGGGTAAACAACCAATCATCATTGTAAAGGTCAATTTTTAATGAGGGTGGGACCCTGCATTGCACATGTGCACTATATATACACAGGAGTGTAGTAGGCAGGTTACCTTTTCTCTGTCTCTCTCTCTGGACTTGTTGCCTCGGAGCTTCATAGCCCTAGCAGCCTCATTCATCCCCACGATGAAGACCATCACTGCTCTTGCCGTTCTTGCTCTAGTAGCCACGACATGGGCTGTCTCTCCACCTGGTGAGTTAAGAATCCTTTTAAATACTCGTGCCTTTATGCTAACTGCAATATATTCAGCCCTTAGTAAGAGTAGAATGCTGAAGTTAGAAGAAAATTTAGAAAGTATCTATTTGGATTGGTCTGATTGACAAAGTGGGAGAAGGGTCAGATCTTCAGGAAAAAGGAAGAGAGATGGAGAAGGTGAAAAGGATTGTAGGCCCTTCACCCAGTTCCAGATCAGGATCCCTCAAGATTCTGACTTGCCCTTTCAGAAACCACTCATGAAATGTTGAGACCATAACCCAACCTTGCCCTGGGCATGCCCACAAGAACTCTTGAAGACCTGTGACAGCCCTTCCTCCAAAGACCAGAGATTTCCCCATGGTTCTTCCCCAGAGATCAAATGCATCTCTGTCTCCACCCTGACTTTGGCCCTGAGTAAAGAAGTGACCTCTCTTAGGTCTGGCCTGGGGAAGGGATGTTGGGAAATGGTGTCCGAGAAAGAAAGGGGAGTTTATCCCTTAACCGTGCAGGTACTCGGACATTTAAAGTAGTTACCAGCAAAAGGACTGCTTTGGGCTGGTAGGACCGTGGCAGGCAATTTCATCTGACCTTATATTAGTATATTTATGACTGCCGGAGGAATTATGCCACACAAATAGTTACAGTTACAATCCACACAGCAATTTATTCTCCTTTTATCATTGCAGTGGGCACAAAGCTTATCAGCACATAGCACACTGTTACTCAAAAATTTCCTGGTGCCATGGGTACAGGCTTAAAGGGAGCTCCCAAAGCCTGGCTTCCTCTCCAGGCAGCAGCGGCACCTTCTCTGGCTGGATGGTCAGGTCAGGAATGAAGTTTCAGTTTCAGGGCAGCTTGCCTTCAGAGATCCCTGTGGCATGGAGCGAAACGGTGTGGGGAAAGGGTCTGCGCCCAAGCTGAAGGCAGCGAAGATAAACTTCCAGCATCAGAGCCACCAGTGTAGCCCAGGGATCAAGCAATCAGCGTTTACCAGGGAGATCTAGCGATGATCAACTTGAATGGTGTTCGGGGACCCTTTAAATAGCCTGTAGTACCCGTGGCAGTCCAGCGGGGGGAGTAAGGGGATTCTGGTAAACAAAATGCATAGCAAGATCTCAAGTTCAACCTTAGTTCCAAAGGGCATTTCAGAAAACAAACTTGCCAACACTTGGTTTCACTCTGGAGAGGGGGAGGAATATAAGTCATCAGACATACGGTTCTCATGGCAAGTCACTCTAAGTCAGTAATTGAAGTTCAGATCCTTCAGGGCAGTGGGGAACATGTCCTTAATGTCACACTTTAAGTTTCAGGAAAGTTAACTCAAACATTTTAAAACCTTTTTAACATTTTTTGGCATTTTTAAACGTTTTTAAACATTTCTATATTTTACTACAACACGTGGTTTTAGTTACTGTGAACAATGAATCCAGTTTTGCATTTCTAACCGTGGAATTTGCTTTCTCCAATTCCTTCTCTCCAATTACATCTCCATCCCCTCTCTTTTGGTGATCAAGCAATTGGGACAGCGGTGAGTACAGCCTTCTCTGTATGATCTTTGTACAAACAAAATCAGAGCTAATGTGTGAAGGAGCTAGGGAGGTAGCTAAACTGGCTCACAGTAAACTAAAATAATTCCTCAGGGGGTAATACTGTTCCTACTCTTCTTTTCCTGGTGGTTCTTTCTTAAAAGGTTACAAAAGGAGTCTCCTTGCAAACGGGGAGTAACAGATAAAGTAAATTTTACTTTTGGGTAGCATTTTAAACTTTTCTGATTATTTTTCACATTAATTATTCCTTTGGACTTGCATTATAACCCTAAAAGGAGAGAATAAGATTTTCTTCTTAAACAGCCAATTATTTGTGTGTGTGTGTGTGGGGGGGGGGGGGTGTTATTCTTCTATGTTGCCCTGACTAGGGATTGAACCTGCAACCTTCTTAGCAGGATGATGCTCTAATCAACTGAGCTACCTGGCCAGGGCTTAAACAGCCAATTCTTATTTTACTTAAGGAATGTCCTAGGTCTGATCAGTTTTTGTAGTGCAGCACCTGGTCCAATAGAATCTTCTGGATACTCTTTCCACTCTCTTCTCTCTTCTTTCCATTTTGATATGAGAATGACTACAGAATTGAAGAAAGAGAATGTAGGACATTATTTTTCTTCCAATTACAGGTGGATTGCTCCAAATACCAGGGCAAAGGCTCCAGGCTTGCATGCACAAGGCAGTATAAACCAATATGTGGCGCAGATGGTAAAGTTTACAGCAATGAGTGCATGTATTGTTCGCTAAGACAGTAAGTATGGTATTCAATTTGGAGCCCAGCCCCAGCCCCTTTAACGATCACGAAATCCACATTGGCCAAAATCTGCTTGGTTGTTAAACACAGGGTTTGACAAATCCTACCTTTTGACCATCCTCTTTGGGCATTGCTTTGTTAAAATTTTAAAAAATTAGCTATATCTCTAAGGAACTCAGAAGATAGCTATCTCTCTGTAGGCTGTTAGCCATGGACATGATTACAAGGCTTTGTTCTATCTTTCACACACCAGAGGAAATTCATGTTACTTCTCATGGTTGCCTGGAAAAGTCTGGGGAAGAGAGTGGGAGTACAAATGGTAGTTGGAACCAGTTGGAATCCCCACTGCTACAAGTTCAATATTAACGCCTCACTGGAAACAACCTCTCAGCTTCTAGGAAAATGGTTATTACCAGCCATTCTAGCTATTTTAATTCACTATTTTATGATTAGTTGTTAAAATCGTGGGCTTTGGAGTCAGACATATGGATTAGAATCCAAACTGCATTTAATTAATCTGTAGCATGAGGTAAACATCCAATCCACTAAACACTTCAGTATTCCCTTATATAAGATATAAATTACAATAGTGTTTAGAATTTACTGTGATAAAAACATGTCAATCATTAGCTAAGCAGTAGATATGGAGTGAATACACATAGAAATGAGCTCTATTTTCTCCTCATGATTTTCTTCCTTATTTTCTCTCGTTTTCTAGCCCTTCTGAAATGTATAGTCAAGTGTAATAGCAATTGTTATTCAGGATATAATTTTTAGGATATGCAAACTCATACGCCACTAAAACAATAGGAGTTTAAAGACTGGGGAGATTTTATGGATTATATTAACTCATATCTCATATCCTCTTTAAAGAAGTCAGGAATCTAACTCAGAAAGGAGAAATAGCTGTAACAAAATTACCCACACTAATGTCAGAAATGGATTTGAGCATTTTTTCTTAACTGCAAAAATGTTCTCACACTATACTATTCCTTTGATTTTTATCTGAATATTCATGGACTATTTTTTAATAGTCCTTTTAGTGTTGATCTTATTTTCATATGTTTTTATTTGATGGATGTTTTATTACCCACCAAATATATTAATGGTCAATATTAGTCAACTGGAGTAGACTATTAACCAGAACCCCTCGTTCTCAGTCCCGGTCAGACAACACAGAATGACATATGACTGTATTTTATTCTGTAGGTTACGAAATATCAAGTAACTGCTTTACCCATTAGATAAAATTTTCTCTTTCAGAGAACGAGGTGCTGTACTCAGAAAACTTCATGATGGGGAATGTGTAAGTATATTCAGAAATTTTATTTATTCTTAAATATAAAATGTTACACTAATTCCTCATTTTCCTATGGGAAAAACTATTTTAAGATATGTCATTTAAAAATTATCTGTACCATGTATGGTCATAGGTAAGACATTTGGCCAGCCTAAACAGATGACCTGAAGTAGAGTTAATTTATTTGCCCAGAGGAGGACTTCAGAAACTTTACTCATAGCCCTTAATTGAGGCAGGCTGGTATACATGTGCTTCTTTTCTTTTATTTTTTTAAAATATTTTTATTGATTTCAGAGAGGAAGAGAGAGGGAGAGAGAGATAAAAACATCCATGATGAGACTGAACCTGCAGCCTGGGCATGTGTCCTGCCTGGGAATAGAACTGTGACCTCCAGGTTCATAGGTCAACACTCAACCACTGAGCCACGCTGGCTGAGCCATGTGCTTATTTTCTAACAGTGCAACTAATTAGCAGGTCACAAAAAGGAGTTCAAGGGAATTAGGGACTCAGGGTTCTTCTCATAACAATAAAGAAAGTTATTTTTTAAAAGCACAAAAAATTCAAAAGAAATATAGAGATAATTTAGGGGTAAAGAGCTATGTGAGTGGGATGTCAATAATTAGAATAAGATAGGAGAACTGTTAACATGTAAAAGACAGTTTAATTTAAGGAGAGGTACCTAACCCAATTCCATGGGTGGGAGAGAGAAACTTATAAAAGTCTGTGACCTGACTTTAAAGGAGGAACAGGAGCTGGGTTGATGGATAAAGTGGGTAACGTCATGTAAGAGGAGAAACACCATAAGCAAAGTCACAGGGACTTTCAGGAGCAGGAGACTCTCGGGGAATTCAGTCCTTAAATGGCCTAGCATAAGTGGCAGAGCAGATAAGAATGGAGAGATAAGCACAGGTCATTAGAGGACTTTCTGTTGATGGGGAAGTCAGTTAAGTTTTTGAAGAACAAGATCTAAGTTGATTTGTAAAAAAAAAAAAAAAAAAAAAAAAATCACTCTGCATCAATGTGGAAGAGGACTGAAATCCCCAATAAAGCAATGGAGGCTGGGCAGTACGTTGGCAGATAACTGCAGATGTGTAGGCAGGACCTATTGAGGGCTGGATTAAAGGGAACGACAGTCTGGTAAGGAGAGGACTAATTTGGAAATTAAGTACAAGATAGAATCCTTAGGATGTATCTGTCACTCTAATGTAGAGGAGTGAGAGGGAAGCCTTAAACCTGAACTGAGCTCTCCCTTGCTGTGATGATCGTCCCACCATTGTTAGGTCAGATTATATAAACTTCGGAGAATGTTGTTTTGCATATGGAATTCTGAACTAAATAATCCTTCATGGTCTTTCAAAAGTTTATTTTCTATGATTTAATGACCTGAAATTGTTCTTTCTTTTCTTTCTTTTTTTGGGGGGACATGGGCAGGTTAAATGCACCAACTACTCTGAGGCATGCACCATGGAATATATGCCTCACTGTGGATCTGATGGAGTAGTGTATGCCAACAGATGTTTGTTTTGCAACGGTGTTGTGTAAGTGCTGAATTCAAAATATTATTTGCAGAAATAGCCTTTCTCAGAGAGCCAGAGACAATCTTGGCTTCCAAATAAGATGCTGCTATGAAGCATAAGAGTGAGATGGTTCACTGATGATCATAATGTTTTATAAAAAGAAGAAGGAAAGAGAGAGGAAGAGAGAAAGTGGATAGTAGGAAGAAATGGAAGCTAGAAAATGAGAGATTTCTTTCAGTATTTTTAAATGACAGACAAAAGAAAAATTCACAGAATTTTTTTGGGGAGGGGGCTCTTGGCACTGGTTTTTACTAGCACATGGAAGTTTTTTTTAGGTCACCTTGCTTAAGCTTAGTGGCTAACTGTTCATCTTTCATGCTGTGGACTCATTTGACTGGATTGATCTAAAAATATGAAACTTTTAAGATTTCCAAAACCTTTACCTTTCTTTTAAAAAATGATTTCTTTTGTAGGAAGAGCCGTGGTGCCCTTTATTTGGCCAATTATGGACAATGCGAGTCTCGCTGATGCTCAAGCTCACCAAGTTTCCTTTAGCAGATTCCACATAGAGAACCTGTTTCCCGGGGATGCTGTGGGACAAATATATGGATTTAATTCTTCAATAAAAGAATCTCAGCAGTAACTGTCTGGCTTGTCTCCGTGTATGTGATTCTTGTCTTAAGGAGAGTATCTGTGGTCGTTTTCCTGAACTATAAATCACACAAAAATATTTCTTCTAATCCTACTGAAATTGGGAATGAGAGAGGTTATAGACATACTCGTGAGTGAAGAATATGCTCATGGCATCCCATTTTAAAACAACTCAGAATTTTTAAGTTAATGCGTCAAAGGGTGGATCTGACCATAGTCTTATATTATCTTTTGCTACACTAATGAAAAGTGGAAAATTCAGGTTTGGAGAAAGATAGAGTGAGAACACACAATACTATAAACTAATCAGAACTGACTAGGAATAACATGTATACTTTAGGCACCACCATTTAAAGGGAACTGAGTCACATATGGGCATCTGCAAAAGATCAAGAAAATGTCACAGTACATTTCTAAGTGGAAAAAAACCCAGAAAACAATATATACCACAAAAATGTGATTAAATATGACAATAGGAACATGTACATGTGCTCATGAGTGTGGGATTGCCTTCCCTGTAGCAGCCTTTCCAACCCTAGAGAATTATGCGTATAGGTTCCAGAGCTTGATCAAGGAACACATTGAACTGGAATGATATAATAATTCAATATATTTAATAGTTATTTTGGGGTTATAAGATTTCACATCTTCATTTTTGGGGGGGTTATTTTCCTATTTTCTAATGTTAACATTTACTCCTTGATATAAGAACAATTGTTCTTTCCAAAAAGGAAGATAGAGGCAGAAAGTTCAGGTAACAGGAAGAAACTCAGGTAACATCTCTTCCCTGTTGCACAACTGCAAAGACACTGGACTGCCAATGGCATCCATCACCTCATTTGTCGCTGCCACCTCCTCTGTTCCTCAGCTGCTTCCACATTTTGCATTCTGGCTGAAGGTACTCATTAGCATTGTGGAACATGATATGCTCTTTCTACTGTGTTCCTTCCTACTGTTTCCTCATGCTGTTGCCTCTTCGGAATGCCTGCCAAGGGCTACTCTGCCTACCCGCCAAGTCTTCCAGAGGGCTTCCTGCTTTCTTCACCAAAGCCCCCTGCTGAGGTTTGATGTTGATGGATCTAAATGTTGGGCCTCCCAAGGTCCGCTCAGCCCAGCACACAATGCCTCAGTGCCTTCCTCCCACACAGCTACTCTATCCCCTCCTGAGGCCCTAATACATGCTCCTTAAATGAGTTACCAGTCACAAAAGCAGGTCACATCTCCCTTCCTTTTCTCTTCTTTCTAAGGTGGGTCAACTGGGCCATATGCTGTAGGACAAGTGAGCATCTGGCATTGTGCATCCATACAGTTGGATCTTCCACTGTTTCTGCTTGGATCCTGCAGGAATCTAGGCAAGGCCTCAGGAAGAGATGGGGGAGTACCTAAAAAGACATGGTGTCCCCGATTGTCTCAGGAGCAGGCAGAGGAGACAGCTCTGGACCTTGTGCCAGGGACCTCCAACCATTCTGGGCAGTAGAGTATTGAGGAGACCTTTCATGTCTCAGCACAGCAGAGCAGCAGAGAGTTTATGTGAATTTCCTATTGACATATGCTACAGAGCAGAAAAAAAAGGCCCAAAGGACATGGGGGGGCCCAGGGCACTTTTGCAGGATTAGAAAGACGACAGGGACAGTTCAATATGGTCCTTGATCAAGCTCTGGTACCAGTATGCATCACTCTCTAGGGTTGGAAAAGCTGCTACAGGGAAGGCAATCCCACTGGAGGATTTGCTCACTGATGTATCCCTTTCTGTGTCTGGATAAAAAGAGCTTTGGGGCCCCCATGAGATGGCAGGTAATGGTTTTTATCCCTGTGGACTCTCCAAGAATGCTGTAAGATAGTCTAGTATTGCCAGTCAGAAGATTTTTCAGCATAACCAAGGATGCCTGGAAGATTAGTAATCTTTATCTTAATCCAGGGATAGCCTCTGCTTCATGAACAATACAGACATGCTTCCTCTGTTGAGAAGCTTTTGTCTAGAAGCCTCTAGTGGCCTCATTATTTTCTCTGTAGCTTCTTAAAGAAAATACAATTGGATGAGTCTTGAGGTAAGAAGTTGACTTTTCAAGACACTTTAAAATGCCTCTATACTAAAATAATACAATTATGTTCAAAGAGTTATCGCTGACTAACTTCTGTCTTCTGAGTAGTCACAGATCTGTCACTGAGGTCTATACTTTTATTTGAGACTAGCCAAAGTTTAACTTTTCCTGAGCATTTGTTCTTGGGGAAGGGTGGAATTAGGCATTCCAAGTGCCATATGCAGAATTTACAATGGGCAGATGAGATGGATATTCACTTCGAAGCTGGTATTCCAATTATTTCTACTTTGGTGATTGCAGTAGAGAACGTCCTGAGACATCTCAGAGCATCATTTTAAGAACACACCAGGAGGAAAGATGGCCAAATCTTTCCCAGTGTTCTGCTCATTATTGTTCTTCATGCTGATCCATCGGGTGGTACCATCTGGTAAGTAATTTGGCTGGTTCTGGCAGGAATGTAAAGTGGATTTGTGGGCTCTAACATTCATTGTGATCTGAAATAGAATGCTTTGAAATTCTTATTTATTTATGTCATTTTACTGTATCTGTATATCTGTATCTATATATAGAGACAATGGAGTGTGGTCCTCCCCCTCCCCCCCCCAAAAAAAGGCTTTGGGCTAAGGGGCAGGGGCCTTGGTTTTTCCACCTATTAATGCAGATTATGAGACCTAATTCATGGGGACCAGGAGCTTGGGTAATTCAATGAGGTGACCTGTGAAAGTGACTGACAATGTGCCTACATGGCAGCACATCTCAGAAATTCAATACTGTTGAAAATGCTTTAAAAAAAAAAAGAAGAAGAAAAAAAGCTTTTCCATGTATCTGAGTGGGTCATTATTTTTCAGGTCCTTTTCTAGAGAAGGGTCATGTAGAGAGTTATAAAGTCACTGAGTCTCAAGGACTGAAGAGCTTGATTTTTTACATATCTGTCATGAATTCCTGGGCATTTCATAACAAGGGCCTTTCCCCCTTCTGTGAAATAGGGGGATTGGGCTTAAAGGCCTCTTTAAAATTCTAGCATTTCTTAATTTCTTTCATACATGGGCTGCCAGTTCTGAATCCACTCCTGTTCTTCAAAAGTAATTTGATATACTGGATTGGCAATGTTTATGAGAGTAGCAAGGCATCTACATAGTCGTCTACTGATTATCTATCAGAAGAAGAGGGGTTGTTCTGCATTTTGAGAAAAAATAAGTTAATACATGGAAAAATAAAACAATGCTTTAAATGATTGCAAGCTTCCTTGGTAATAATTTAAAATTCTTTTATTCCAGATTAAGAATTCTTAATCAGCCAAAAGATTAAGCTATGATTTACCAGATATTAGATTTTGTAACTATTTTCAGTTATGTCTCGGTTTCAGTCCGTCAAGAATGGTGGCCACCCTATGGAGATTTCAAGGTAATGTTTCACTAGGCTTGCCAGGACTGAGGTTCTAATGGAGTTTTCTTTGGAATTGTGATTTTTGAGCCTTACTGCAGCAAGGTCATCTGTTGCATTCTTAGAAGACCAATCATGTGAATATGACAGGTACACTGCAGGTGTGGGAGCCCAGAGTAGAGTGATTCAAACTGGGAACCAAGCTGAGATTTGGTCATATGTCCAGGCACCAGAGAACCTTCATGGTACCTGGGAAGTGTTATGAGCACCCATGATTGCCAGGGGAAGGGCAGGGTCTTAAGAACCTTCGGACTTGGGCATAACACAGTTTTTGTTCTCAAGGAGCTCACAGTTTGGGGAGGGGATGCTCCCAAATGCTCTGAGACATGCAGAGAATGACTATGTAAGTTGTGAATAGGGAACATCAAAGACTGAGGAAAATGTGCAAGAATATGAGCAGAGCATCAAGTTGTGTTTGCAACTTGGATGAGGAAAAATGAAGGGGACACCCTTTTCATTTTAACCTACTCCTCTGAGGATTAAATATATTGTGAAGCTACTACGTGTTTGATAAATGATGGAAATGGGTGATGAGGGATTACTTTTTTAAAATATACATTTGCATCATTGTACTCCTTTACTTTAGGAGTTTCTGTACTTTTAAGTTTTTGTCTCATTTGTAACTTTTAAGTTGTACTTCTTTTTAAAAATCAGTTATGAGTTGACTGGTGAGAAAGGACTTTTGAGGGGAGGTTGGCCTTCAAGTTACCTATAGTTTAGAGCAGGGGTGGGCAAACTTTTTGACTCGAGGGCCACAATGGGTTCTTAAACTGGACCGGAGGGCTGGAACAAAAGCATGGATGGAGTGTTTGTGTGAACTAATATAAATTCAAAGTAAACATCATTACATAAAAGGGTACGGTCTTTTTTTTTTTTTTTTTTTTTTTTTTTTAGTTTTATTCATTTCAAACGGGCCGGATCCGGCCCGCGGGCCGTAGTTTGCCCACGGCTGGTTTAGAGTGTAGAACCTGATAGAGGCTGTAGCTCCAGCAAAAGATCGCAGAGCCTGTCTAGTATTTATCCTCTGATCTCAAAGAGTTCAGTTCTAGCATTTTACTCTCCAGAACTGCCTGCAGGAGGAGTTCTCCCTCGCCCATCAACTTACTCATTCTTACTTATTTCTTTAAGGAATATTTACTTATCTTCCGTGTTATGCCTTAGGATACAATAGTGAGGAAAACAGACATATTGCCTTCTCTCATGAAGCTAATAAGTAGCCATAAAAAAAGGAAAGGGACAACTATTATTTGTAGTAAATTCCATACATACAAGAAGTAAGAGGGTATGATAGGGAATATCTATTAAGAGTAGAGATACTACTATAAACCATGTGATCTGTATTGGCCTCTCTGGGGTGGGGACATATCAACTGAGATTTGAAGGGCAAAAAGTAGCCACCTGGGTGAAGAGTGGTGAGGAAGACTTTCCCTGCTTATACTGATTGAACACTTGGATGACTGGGTCACAGAGAGGGAGGTTGTGTGCAGGGGATGCTACACTTACAGCAGTAGATTGGGACCCTCCCCTGATGAACACCTCTCACTCAAAAGAAAAAGAAGTTGCATTTATAGACAATGATACTAGCTATTCTTGATTTTTATTTGATTACTTTATATTTATTCTGATTAAACTATTTTATATCTCAAATACTTATATATTTGATACTTATATATCAAACACTGATTGGAGGTATAAAAAGAAAGAATGAAGGGTTGGGATTGTATTTTGAAAAATATCTCTGAGACAGTAGGTTGTAACCTGAGCTCTGAAGGCAGAATGAGATTGGGTTCAGGGAAACAAATATGTTTGTTGGGGGTGGTCATGACAAACCAGAAGACCCTGAGATGGAGTATTGGGGGTGGGGAGCACTAAAAAGGCAAAGAGCCAGGTGGTGTACAGGTAGGTGGGAAAAGTTGGGAGGATCCAGATCACATGGGGTCTTCTATCCCATACTAAGAACAAATTTTTTTAGTGTGAAATGATGTGTAGTTAAAGATTTCTTAATAAAGAGAATAAAATTATTCAATTGATGCTTAAATTATGGAAACTAGAGGACAGGGGTAATAGAGAAAGTGGAAGGATTAATTGGGTGACAGACACAGGAGGTAGGTGATGGTGGCCTGGCCATGGTGGTGGTGTTGGATAGATAAGGAAAGAAGGGAGAGTTTCTAAGCTTAACTATGATTTTTCTATCTCTAAATACTAAGCCAAAACTCTCTTCCACCTTGTATTAGAGGTACTTTATCTATTGTAGGACACTCTTAGAGCCCCTGAGACCACCATCCTCAAGCCATCACCTTAGAATCACTGCTTCAAGACATCACTCACACCAGCCTTGCAAGTAGACATGGGTTCTAATCCCTGATGACACATGTTCCTTCCCTTATTTTCCATTTTCCCTAAAAAACCAGGGAGTTATTCTAAATGATCCCACATTTCACAACTTTAAGAGTTGGCTTGGGGATTTTGAGAGTAGATAAAAAAAATGTGGTAAATATTTTAAATCAAGGCATATGGATTTCAGCAAAGCATTTTTTTCCAATTATGGAGCTTTAGTTTTCATAGCTGAGTTGGCCTAAAAAAATCTCTAAGAACACTCCCAGATCTAATAGTCTTGGAATAAAGGAGACTGAGAGAGAAGCTGAATTTCCCAAATAAATTCTATTTATTCATTCTTCCTTTTCCAACTCTAGCATAGCAGGCCTCTGTTCTCTATTGCTGTCAGGAGGTATCATGTTGCTATCAGATAGGATATATGTAGGTTCTGGTTTCATTGTTTCGTGGAGGGGAGAGCTGTGAGAGCTTTGGGGAGACTAGAACATGATCTTGGCTATGTTTAGATTTCCCTAATGAAGTCCAGAGATGAGCTACCTGTCTCTGAGTGTGATTCTAATTGTATCATTCTTCTCAATTCAATTGCAGGTGAAATGTCCATATAAGAAAGTAGACTTGAGCTGGTTCAAAGGAACATTGAAGCCCTGCCGTGGTATATATCATCCGGTCTGTGGCACCGATTTGGTAACCTATGAAAACCCCTGCATCTTGTGTGTTGAGAGCTTGTGAGTACTGTTTGGGGGAAGGTGGGAGAACAATGAAAAAGCTTAGCCCACAGCAATTACTAGCTACCTCTTCTACCAAGTACCATCAGCCTGGATGCCAGGAATTTGCTCCAGTTGGCACAGATAATGATCAGTCCCCACTGAGAAGAGCTTGTGGCCATATAAAGTTCACTGGAGTACAAAGCAGGCTCATTATGCTCATTGTGCTCAGTGTGCTCCTCAGGCCCTTTCTTCTCTCTGAGCCCTCACATGCAGTGGTCGGCAAACTCATTAGTCAACAGAGCCAAATATCAACAGTACTTCTTCAAAATAGACGCGCCCAGGCCGAAAACCGACTTCTGCGCATGGGCCACAAAGTTTCAATCGCACTGTACGTGCGCCCACACGTGGTATTTTGTGGAAGAGCCACACTCAAGGGGCCAAAGAGCTGCATGTGGCTCGCGAGCCGCAGTTTGCCAACCACAGCTATGCCAACTGATGGATTTTCACTTGAAGCTTCAAATACCTTTTAGAGTCCTGAAATTCTTTGATTTTAAGACAAATTGCGGTTTTGCCTAATGTCAGATATCTTCAACCTCTATGTTTAAATGTGTTTGAAACTCTAAGCTAGAATGAGGGGACAACAAAGCTTGGGTCCTTTAGCTGAGAGTGAGTGTTTAGTTTGTTGTGGTTTGTTGTTACTTTTGTTTTGTTTTGGGTGTGTTTTGTGTGTAAGGGGGGCTTGGATTTCTGTGACATGATTTTCAGTTATTAGATGCAGAGGTCTCACAAAACCATGGCTTCAGGTTTGATCTCTGTAGAAGCCAGTACATTTCACAGGAAGAAAAATTATCCCTATGGCATCAGACTGGAGTCCTCTGCACAACAATTATTTTGTAGTTTTATGCACAGAGCGAAGATAGGAGTGTGAAACCCCAGGTCATCCCCACTATTAAGTAATTTAGCCAAAGTGTGAGAGTATTGACAGAGAAGATGAGGGTTAACATGCAGGACTGATTCAATGAAAAAGCTTATGATTCAATAACCCATTTTCCAAGAGACTGTTGCATAGGTCATAGTATTGTCAGTGACATTTTAGGATTGTAAAAGGATAACTGGGCAGGAAGCCAATAACCTAGTTTTTGTTTGTAGTCCATTCTCCCTTTTGCTCTGGCTCTAAGTATTCTCAAATATAAACTAAGAGTGTTTGATAAGATAATTTTAAAGTATATTTGTAGCTCTGACATTCTACTATTTAATGAAATATTTATTCTTACTCTTTCTTTAGGAAATCTTCTGGGAAAATTAAGTTTCTACGTGATGGAGCATGCTAGTTAAGCAGACTTGGATGTGAAAGAATATATCTTCTTTTTTCTCCCTCATGGCAGTCCTCCTCTTACAACTCACCTGTCCTTTTTTCCTCCTTGCATATGTTCTTGGTGACAGAGAGCTGCCCCTATTGAGCTTGTATCAGATAGTGAAAGCTTCCTTCCTTAGTCCTCTTCCCTCTTTGCCGTCCACATTCTTCCTAATAAATGTTTCTGAAAGTATGATTTCACTTGGGTTTTTATGTATGTGTTTCAAATCTCAAAAGTAGACCAAATTAAACATTTGAGCCAAGGATCCAAGACAAACTTTGGGATTACTCAGCTCTATAATACAGTGAACCGTGGGGTAATCTATGTACAGCAAGCATGTCAAACTCAAAGGCTAACACGGGCCAAATAAACAAGGTTTAAGTTTATATGGGCTGCAAAAAAACAAAAGCTTCAATTTTCATAGAAACGTAGGTTTATTTCAATAGAGTCATGCTGGATACAAAGGGCGGAAAGAAATGAGTAATCGTTAACATAAAATAATAGCACATTTTAATAAAAGTTAATATTTTTTCTTGAACATTAACTTACCAGACACTGAATAACTGTACAAATTAATAAGCCTAACACAAATAAACCTATTTTTCTTGTTCCCTGAAAGCAAAATATTTCCTGTTGTGCACACCAAACAAGTCAATCCACGACTAATGATATGGTGATCGGCTGCTAAAACATTCACTGCTAGTATTAGTTGAGAGAAATGGTGCGCCTGCGCAGTAGCTGCATGAGGGAAATGAATGCAACACGATTATAGTAATCAGTCGCTGGCGAGCATTGTAGTTCATTATTAAGCGCTCAAAGGGAAACCAGACTATATGTAGTTCATTATTAATAAGTATATTAGGATATTGTAAAAATTAAGTTACGGAATTTTTATTAAAACATTTCTTACATACCATTATATTGGCTGGGCTGCAAAAATATTGGTTGTGGGCCACATGTGGCCTGCAGGTCACGAGTTTGACATGCTTGATGTAAAGGTTCCAGGTGTCTTCTGAGAAACATGACAGAAATGTCTCCTATATTCCTTTTGGCATTAAAAAAAACCCCACAATTAATAGGAGGTATGGAGCACTGTGCACTTTCTGGTCATACCTTTGGCCCACTTTCTGTAACCTCCTCATTAAACAACCTCACTTATAGACTCATCCTTGAGACAGAGCCATTTGCCCATGTCTGGCTTAGATCAACAGAGCCCAACACTTTCACTGGCATCGTGTTGCCCCATAGAAAGAGGCCTGTAGATGGTATCCATGAATGCTCCATTGGTCATTGGTCTTTTTCTTAAATTCTTTTGACAGATTTTTAACCTCTGAAACATAGGGGCATGTTCTTCTTTAGGTTATACATGTGCGCATGTGTGAATTTTTCTGCCATGGAGAGACGAAAAATATATACTAACTAGAGGCCTGATGCACGAAATGCATGCAAGGATAGGCCCCACAGCCCTGGCTGCCTTGCAGCCCTGAGGCCCCAAACCCTCACCCACTAGTCATTTTGGAAGGTCATTCTGGAAGGTCACTCCACTGTCTGGTCTAATTAGCATATTAGCTCTTTATTATATAGGAAACTAGTATGCTCTCTTCCCTTCAGCAGCTTGCTCCCTGCTGGCTTGGGAAAGAGCTTCTTCTGCCTCTGAATATCCTATAAGGCTATTGTCAGAATGTTTATATGTTCTTTTAGCTCTTTGACCTTTACTAGCATGCTAATAACATGGTAGACACATGTTTCCAGTAAAAATTAAACAGTCACCTTTAATCTATCATCTTTAAATTTGAAAAGCAAACATCTCTGGGGAAAATTAAATGTTCCCTCTATCTATAAGGTGTCCTTGCTCTGAGTCCGGGGCCAACCAGGAATACCAACAACTCCAGGGGAGACTGTTGTCCAACATGATTGTTTGAACTTCCAGGTCACAAATCCTTTCTTCTGCAGTAATTAATTGTCATTAATGTCATTCAGTAGATTTTTTTTCATTTCAAACATTTTAATATCAGCTCTACAAGTTTGATTTATATCTTCCATACTTCCAACTTTAAAAAAAGGTTATTATAATTGGAATATAGTTATAATAATTATTTTTACCTGCTAATTCTGTCAGTTCTGGGTTGGTTTTGGGTTTTTTGATTTTCTTCTCATTATAGATTACTAGTAGGCCTGTGCACAAATTCATACACCAGTAGCTCGCTGCTGCCCTCCAGTAGCTCTCTGCCCGCTGCCCTGCCCTCCTATAGCTCCCCTCCATAGCTTGCTGCCCTGCCCCCTCCTGTAGCTCTCCGCCACCCATTTGTAACCAGTCCCTTGCTGCGGCCCTCCCGTAGCTCTCCGCCCACTGCCCTGCCCTCCTGTAGCTCCCTCCACCCCACCTCCCACCCCCCATAGCTTGCTGCCCTGCCTCCTCCTGTAGCTCTCTGCTGCCCACTTGTAGCTCACTACCCTACCCTCCTGCTGATCCGTGATCTGGTCATTACTCGGTCAGTCGTTACGCTTCACGGCGTAATGACCATTTGCATTTTACATCTTTATTATATAGGATATCTTATGGTACCAGAAAGTATGAATTTTATCTTGTTTGGTTCTTAATATTTTTATATTTCTAGAAATGAAATTCTTGAGTTTTGTTCTGAGACACAGCCAATTACATGGAAATGATTGAATCCTCTTTGCTATTAAGAGTTGTTAGGTCAGCCCTGGCCAGTGTGCTCAGTGGTTAGAGCATTGGCCCCCACACAAAAGAGTCGTGGGTTCAATACCTGGTCAAGGGCATGTTTATGGGTTGCAGGTTCCCTTCTGGCCCAGCTGGGGTGCTTGTGGGAAGCAGCCAGTCCATGTCTTTCTCACATCTGTGTGTCTCTCTCTCTCTTTTTCCCTCCCTACCTTCCTCCCCTGCTTCCACTCTAAAAATCAATGGAAAAAATAAATGTCCTCAGGTAAAGATTAACAATAACAAAAGAAGAGTTGTTAAGTCAGACCAGTGAATTAGCATTCACTAAGTGGGCTAATTATTCCTCACTACTGAGGCAACGCCCTTGGAGTACTTTACTCAATTCTCTTCTGTGATTTTTTTTTTTTTTTTTTGGCTTTGGGTAATTTCCTCATGTACAAGCACCGATCAGTAAATTGCTGAGCTCTCTGTCCAGCTCTCCAGGGCTGTGGTCCTGCAAATTATAGCCACTTTGATTTCTCTTCTCTCAGCGTTGTGTCTGCAATTCAGGGAATCCACTTGCTCCATCTGAGTTCCCCTTTCCTATTTCTAAAATCTCTTGCAATGCAGAAACCAAGGGCAATAATAGATCTCACCACATTATTTCCCATTTCTCAGGAATCCTTGTCTTTCATTGCTGATGTCTAGATTATGCTTTCATATATATTTATCTGATTTTTTGTTGTCTTTTCCAGTTTGAGGTATATCTGGTTTTTCATACTCCACAGTATTTGAAAGTAAAAGTCAGCTTTATTTTTATCACATCATTGTACAGGTTGGCCTTCTGTATCCCAGTAGTGGTTGAAACACTACTCATGATTCCACCAACTACAAATCAAAAATAATTGAGAAGATGCTACATTATTGCTGATGTATATAATATGTAGTTAGGCCTTTGATGGTTGCCTCTGTACTGAACAAGTACAGGTTTTTTTTTCTTATGATTTTCTAAACAATACAGTAAAACATCTATTTACATAGCATTTACGTTGTGTTAGGTGTTATAAGTAATCCAGATACGATTTAAAATACAGAGGTTGATGCGAGTAGATGCTATGCAAATACTGCCATTTCTTATAAGGGACTTGAGTATCTGTGGATTTTGGTGTCAGCAGGGGGTCCTGGAACCAATTGCCCGCGCGGAAACCTTGGGACAATGGTAGTCATGTCTTCCTCTAATACAGCGGTTCTCAACCTGTGGGTCGCGACCCTTTTGGGTCGCCTAAGACCATCAGAAAACACATATATAATTACATATTGTTTTTGTGATTAATCACTATGCTTTAATTATGTTCAATTTGTAACAATGAAATTGGGGGTCACCACAATATGAGGAACTGTATTAAAGGGTTGCGTCATTAGGAAGGTTGAGAACCATTGCTCTAATACCTTCTAAAGAAGTGGTTCTCAGCCTTCTGGCCCTTTAAATACAGTTCCTCATGTTGTGACCCAACCATAAAATTATTTTTGTTGTTACTTCATAACTGTAATGCTGCTACTGTTATGAATCATAATGTAAATATCTAATACGCAGGATGGTCTTAGGCGACCTTTGTGAAAGGGTCGTTCGACTGCCAAAGGGATCGCGATCCACAGGTTGAGAACCGCTGTTCTAAAGTCTAGGCTAAATTACAAGGTCAATCTTCTAATTTTCTATGGATTCCAGATGATAAGACTTGTGCTCTGTAATAATACAAATTTTTCCCATGAATAATTCAAGTATTTGCTTAAATTTGCTATACACAACAGTAAAAGGACTTTCATACTGATGTTTTTTCTGTCATTTGATACTATATACTTCCTAGCAAAGAAAGGCGGTCAGCATATTTATTTAGATGCAAGACTTCCCTCTTTCAGTGCAACCCTATAAGCTGATCATTTCTACCCATATCCTGCCATGGCCAACATCAAGGAGCTTCCCTCTTAGTGTTCCTGGCTCTGACAGCCACTGACTTCTCTCTCTCTTTCCCATTCTCTTTCCTGCTCCCCCTCCCTCTCTGGCAGGTGTTTTGAATTTTGAAATTCTTCTGTCTAGTTCCCTTTATTTTTTATTCTCTGACATAAGTCCTATATTTTCATCCTAAATGTGTTCCTCCATATTTTCATTTAATGAAAGTCAATGTTACTATTTTCTTTGAGTCCTTTCTCACTCAAAATAAATTTCAATAATTGCTCTCTCTCTCTCATTTTATCTTGAATATAAATAAACTCATACACATATATTTAGTCTAAATCTTCACCGTGTTTTAATAGGTTATTTTTATATTCTTCTTAACTGTTACCTCAGCCTACAATTTATCCTTCCAATCATTATCCTGTCTCCAGTATAATATCATTAAAATATAAACTGTTTAAAAGATCACTATCCTTTATGAGTTGTAACAGAAACATCTTAGTATGACTTATAAGACACTTTCTTTCATCTGCTACAGGCACTCCCAAA